ATTTTCCCTATAGATTCAATGTGGGACAACTCACAAGTGATACTCCAACACGCCCCTCACTTGTGAGTCCTTTATAAGCCCAAGCCCAGAGCAGGCCGGGTAGAGATAGAGACCATGGCCAAAGTTGGCCGGGTAGAGATGGAAACCGAGGCAGGAGTCGGCCTGGCTCTGATACCATGTAAGATTAGAGAATTGGGGCAAGAGAGAATGCGGTCCCACCAGATGAAGGCGCACCATAAGAGGGTGAGCCTAGATGCACCTTAGTGAGGTTCCATCCCAAAACCAATTGGTAATGGGAGGAGTAGCCCACTAGGCTTATATACTAGACTCATTTTCCCTATAGATTCAATGTGGGACAACTCACAAGTGATACTCCAACATTCATCCATTCAAATAATTTTAACTAACCATCATTTCCAATCATTTTTCTCTTACTTTTACATCGTATCAACTTTAATTATTTTATTTTAAATATTATTTTAATATATCTACTAACAACTAACCATATCAACTTTTTTCAAAATTAATTATAATTAAAAAAAAACCAATTAGAGCTTGATTGTTTATGGAATAATTTGTTCAAAATGAGTTATTTTGGTTAACCATAGTTAATTTTGAAAAAGGTGTATGGTTAGTTGTTAGTGGAATTTTAAGAATGTATTAAAATAATATTAAAAATAAAATAATTAAAATTAATTTGATGTAAAAGTAATAGATAAATGATTGGAAATGATATGTAGTTAAAATTACGTGAGTGGATAAATAGTGCATTAAAGTTGATGTGATGTGTAAGAATGATTAATTTGTATTATTTAATTATATGAATAATATTAAAGATAATGAGGTTGAATTAAAGTTGAGTTAAATTAGTTGAAATAAAATGAATAAAATAATTTGTAAACAATCAAGCCCTTTCTAGATGGATTCATAAATAATCACCCCCTAAATAAACTCAAAGATGTAAGTACGAACACCACCAATCAACTAACTGGAGTTGTGTAAGTACAAACACCACCAATCAAAGGTGTAAGTACAAACACCACGAATCAACTAACCGCAAGAATTCAAACCGCTGGGCAAATGCCCAAAAAATAATGACCTAATAAGGGTCAAAGATCTCATCGACAATGCATGTTGGAGATGGAATAGAGAAATGATTCTAGAAAACTTCACTAAAGAGGAAGCAGATGCAATCATGGCCATTTATGGCCTGAACCCTCGTGAAAATGACAGACTAACTTGGGCTTGGAATAGTTCTGGTAAACACTCAGTAGCCTTAACCTACTCAGCTATGATTGAAAGCAGTTGGAAAATAATGGCATTGCAGGACCAAGCACTCATCAGGCAGAGCAAAAGAAAGTTAGGAGGAGAACCTGGAAGCTGAATATCCAAGGGAAAGTTAAACATTTTCTATGGAAAGGGATACACATCATTCTCCCAGTTCTTTTGAATCTTACAAAAAAGGTATTTGGATCAGATATGCAAATTCTGTGGGGAAGAAAATGAATCCCAAGAACACATGTTTTTCCATTGCACAAGAGCTATAATGATTTGGAAGTTATCACCAATTTCTTGGGAGGGCCTTAAGGCTGACACTCACTCTTTTAGAATTTGATGGCATTGCAGGACCAAGCACTCATCAGGCAGAGCAAAAGAAAGTTAGGAGGAGAACCTGGAAGCTGAATATCCAAGGGAAAGTTAAACATTTTCTATGGAAAGGGATACACATCATTCTCCCAGTTCTTTTGAATCTTACAAAAAAGGTATTTGGATCAGATATGCAAATTCTGTGGGGAAGAAAATGAATCCCAGGAACACATGTTTTTCCATTGCACAAGAGCTATAATGATTTGGAAGTTATCACCAATTTCTTGGGAGGGCCTTAAGGCTGACACTCACTCTTTTAGAATTTGGTGGACATCCACGTGTTCAATACAAAGCAAGCCAGTGGTGGAAGACATAATTCATTTTTCATGCTAGCTGCTATATATGGCGGATATGGAAAACTCGGAATCTTTGGTTTTTCCAAAACACATTTAGATCAGAAAGAGACACTGTGAGGCTGGATTTAGAGAACTGGCAGCTCATCTCAACATATTTATAGTTTTAGTTGGTCTGATCTTTTGCTTGTATATAGTGACCTTCTTCTTTTTTTTTTTTTT